CGCAGGCTTCCTGCTTTGGGGATCAATCAGGTGGTACATCGTTGAGAGTTTGTGGTTGGTCTGGGCTGGCGAGTTCGCTGTGTGCGGTCCTGCAAGTAGAGCTTGAGATTGCAGGCCACTTGCGCAGGTGGTTACTTTGAGTTCCCTTCCCCTTTTTTGTCAATACCACAGACATTAAAAGGGAGTACCCCCTTCTCCTGGGTCGTTTGCTGGACACAGGCTGGTTGTGCTAAGGATCAGAAGTGGTACTGGACTGACAAGCTGTCCTGACCTGGTTTCGCATGGTCTCGCCCTGCGCTGACACGTCCGTGTCCGCAAGGGACCCATATAGAATCTATGAACAAGGTGGCAGCTTTCGCACTTGTACTCAATTGAGTTACATTTCCCCTGAAACTCCCTTGAGAGGAATTGGTGCCACCCTCGCTCCCAAAAAAGGGTCCCTTGCATGTCTTGCTCCAAAAGTGGGCCAGGCCGAACGACCCGAATCAGCATTCACCAAATCGAAAGCGACCAGCCGCGGTCACCAGACTTGGATGGACTTCATAGGGTCCCCAGGTCAGTAACCCGACCTTTTGTTTAGCCTTCCTTGTTTCTTTGTTTTTTCGCTGAAAGACCACATGGGGCAACGCGATCGCAGGACACGAGCTGCCAGGCAGCACGGAGAGTGGATGTGATGATCCGTGGATCTTTGGCTCAAGCTGCATTGTTTCCGACTGCCTTTTTTCTTTTGCGAGGCATGGAGTTTTGACAGCAGGAGCCACGCCAGGTCGGGAATCTGAACGCAAAGCCGCACTTCAAACTGACAGGAAGCTAGCTCCAGCCAGCCAGAGGGACCAACTCGCCCCAAGAAGCACATGGGACTCAAGCGAGGGTGATACAAGCATCGTGGGGTTGGGGGTGCGCTTCGCACCGGGAAGGAAGCCTTTGGGCATCGGGTCTGATGCCATGGAGGTGGGGCTGAAGCCCATTTGGGCTGAGCCCAGGCGTGGATGCCGGCGGGGGGGGGGGGGGCCGGGGGATGCGGCTGGGCGCATTGTCTTGGGGGGGATGAGTGTGTGGGGGGGGGGGGGGGCGAAGAGCGTTATTTCCATAGCAACCGTCAGAACAAAATCAGGCAGAAAGCTCATATAGCTGGCGACAAATATCCCTTGAAGGCACATGTCGCTTTGTTAGGATCTGGTTCTTGCAACTACTTTCGGGAAGGACCTGGTTGATATTGACCACCATTTGCTCCGCAAATTAATTTGGAATATTCCTCTAAGCATGGTGGTTTTTTGTTGATTAGGGAGTAAAGGGTGATCTTGACTTGAGGGAATCACTTTCGGACAGCAGAGACTGGCAGGTGCTTAATTAGGTGGGCAGTCTCCTGTTGAATACCAACCAAAAGGTCCCACTTGAATGCATTTGGATGTCTGCCAAAAAAGGTTTGGCCCTCCCCCCCGCATCAAACCATGGCGCATTGTTTCCGAAACACTCAATGACCCTTTCAATTGGCCTTCACTCCCCTGATGGATCGCTCCGGAGACTTTTCCAGAAGCGCAAACTTGACCCTGCCTAAGGATGGTTTCCTTCTGGTCGTTTGTTTCATTCCGTTTGCCAGAAGCTGAACCAAAAGCCACGGCTTGGAGGCCCTTTCCTGGGTCTCCAGAATAATTTTATGTTTGGCAGACTGCCAAGTTCCGCCCGATCTTTCAGCCCCCTTTGTGTTCAGGCAGCCCAAGGATCACACGCCGGAGCTCTGCCTGCCCAAGGCCGGGTGCCCGAAGAAATTGGTCTTGCTTTTGAAAGGTGCCATGCTAGGAGGATGGAGGGAGGGAATAGAATGCTCTCTGTTCGAAGTTTCTTTCCAGTCGGAAGAACACACTGGGCTTGTGTCAGAGCCCTTTGTGAATCTGCTTGTGCGATCAACTTCTTGGCCAGTGTTGGCTTGTCCTCCGCATGAAGAATCTTCCCAGACCCTCAGACAAGCCCAACCCCAGAATAGCATTCCATCTAAAGTAATGTGTTCAAGCCGTATCAAAAGCTTATTTTTCACTTGTTTTTCCAGAGCGGCTGGCTCTTGCACAGGTTCAATTTGGTCTTTGTGTTGGCTGCCTCCGACCCAAGTTTGTGGAGGATTGACCAAAACATCCAGTTTGAAAATTCAGCGATGGGATTTGTCCTTTGACTTGTGTAGCAATGTGAAAAGAGCACGCACATGTTGTTCGACTGCGCCCAGCTTTTGCAGCTCCTGGGGCAAGAGTGGACTGGAGGGGTTTTGACATGCTGCCCTTACCCCAACACATGTGGGTCCCATGTGCAGAGGGTCTTTGAGCGAGTCTGCATCTTCGAACCAGTGGCAACATGTGTTGCGGATGTTCGAGCTAAAGCGCGAAGTGCCATTGTCACCCTCTTGCAGACGTGGCCATTTTGACGAGTTGTTGCTCGTGGCTGGGTTGCTCCAAGTTGGTTCAGATTTCAAGTCACAAGTCATGTGCAGAGCAGGCTTGCACGAACCGACCAAAGCTTTTTTGGTTTGAAATTCAGATTCTGGTTTCTAAGGAAGCAACGTTCTACCCAGGATCCAGGAGGGCTGGCGACAGAGCAATCCTGACGTCACAGCAGCGATTGAGGATGCAGGGCACCCACGCTGAAGTGAACCCTGCGAAGGTATTCGGACGCAAGTAGGTTCAAACTCAGCAGCGCAACCAAAGATTATTCAAGCAACTTGAAGAAACAACTCTGGAATAGTTTCAGCTGGGACCCCCCCAACCACATCTTGTGGTTGTGCCCCACCCTCCGGCTCTCCAGGCGCCGACTCCGGATTCCGGCGACTTGGCTGAGACCCTGAACATGGCCTTTCTAGCGGTTTCCCTAATTGAAAAGAGAGTCCGCTGATTTTGGACCCATCTGGTGCCGAATCTCCAGAGCAATATTCAGAGATGGGCAGCCTCAAAACTCATGGCCGGTCAGACATGTTTTCCAGACGTTGGCAAGGAAGCCTTTTTGCGAGCGATGGATATTGTCACAATGGTGTCATGTTGGAACTCCGTTGAAACAATAAGCCAAACAGGGCCTTCGGACACGTACCCCATGTCTCCAGTACTCACCTCGCGCAAGCACTTGGCTATGGGATGCAAGCCCAGAGTTACTGGCTTGGAGAATCCGGCAGTGCTGACTGTCCTGTTTTGCAGTTGATTCTCCGTTGGTCAGGGAAGGAGCAGTCCTGAATTGAACAGAGGAAATCTCAGGCTAGACATGGGATCAAGTTGAAGACCTATGTGTTGTTTGGATTCCAGGGGCCACACAACTCATTAGTGTCACGGCCACTTGAGAGCACTCAGTTTTGTAAGGGTCACACAAGGGCCGTTGACAAGGCGTCCCAAGATTTTGAAGGGAACGCCGTTTGGTCTCACATCTTTGCCGGAGGATCGCACGGTCGGGATGCCTCTCTCATTGACCCCCTTTTCCCCTCCCTTCCCCGCATACACCTAGGGGCGATTTGTTCAACGTGCTTTGGGGCACTGGGGTAGGGTTCGAGCCTGCAAAACCGACAGCCACCCCCCTCCACCTCGGTTGGCCAGGGACGGAGGTGGAATCCGCCGGGGAGGACATAGAACAGGTTGGGGCTTCGCTGGGAGGGACTCTGCAAATGAACCGAAGGAACCTACCATGTTAATCTGAAGGGGGAGACCCACTTGGGTGTCCCTGAGATGCCAAGTAAATGATGGTGAACGAAAGCGGTTCTATGGTTCGCTGAAGCAAAATCAGAGATTAAACCATGTTCTGTTGGTTGCCAATGGTTTCATGAGAAGTGCTGCGATGCGCGGTTAGGATGCAAGCTGGCTATTGCACCTGTCCATAATTTAGAGGACCCTGGCTTTTTGGGCTGTGCTCATTGTCGGGGGTTTGCAACTGGCATCATCATTGGACAAGACAAATGTCGGCGTTTCAGGTCTCCAAAAGTTTTTGCGCCTCTAATGAATATCTGAAGGTGGCAGCTTCCCAGGGTAGCATCCCACACTGAAGACTGGTCCCTGCAACAAGTGTGCACCTGCAAAAGAAGTACTTCCTTGGTGTTCTTGTGTATGCTTATGAGCTTTACATGTTTCATTCCCCCCAAGTGTATCTCTTCCGAATGTTAAGCATTGACTGGAATAATTTGTTCTTGGCTGAGAAGGTTCCAGTGGCCGCGTCCAATGGCAGCCAAGAACCATGCAAGCTTTTGCGAGTTTGTGAGACCGAGTCAGCCGGGCTCCTTGGGGTAGGCGGCACTGTAGGCTCGTAAGCCAGCTCCAGCCTATGGTGCACAAGGACATCATGGTTCCGCGAAGGGGTTCAACTGGGGCTTCAACGGGTGTGTGGGAACCCCGCATCAATTCGCTTTGGAATGCAGCAACTCACCTCAGGCTTTGTTGTGGCAGAACCTTCCTGTGCCCCAACTGTCCCTTTGAGGCACACTTGAGAGTTGAAGGAGTTATGGGGAGCGACCGCTTTGGGATCACAGAAACCGATAGTGTCTATCGACATAAATTGAAATATGTTCATATCACTCCCTGCATGACATGGTTCCCTTTCAAAGCGCCCGAAGCAAGTTCCTAGTTTCGAAACACTGCCATCAGAGCCGTTCGAACACGCTTTGAGTCGGCACCAGAGAGGGTTGCAGCAACCCACCCAGAATCTTAGACTGACCCTTGGAATCACCCCAAATGAAAGGATTCAGGGGATTGCAACCGGGCAAACAAATTTGCTCATATTCGTTGATTGTTTTCCCCAGTTCCAAGCCTTCCGACATCCTGCCAGACCCATGGTCGCAAGTCCCCTGCTCCCCACTATTTATAGAAAGGGCGATTTTCCACAGTGAGGAGACCCCCCCAAACCTCTTTCCATGGTTGTTTTTGGTACCAAAACATTCCGCACTATCTTTCCGACTCTGAACCATGAGACACGAGACTTCCGAGACTTCCAAGACTTCCAAACCCAATGGCCCAAACCTCTGGCCCAAACCTTTCCTTCTTCAG